TAAAACTTTTGAGCGGTAGAGTATGCAACTACAAAAGTATGTATGTCCACATATCCGGATACGGGTTACTTATCCTATTTTCTGCTCGAATTCACTTTCATCCTTTTTGCGGATTTTGTCCCATTATTTTCCTACTTTTTGTTATATACCTTTCTCCGCATGTTCATTTTCTCTGGATATATATATATTTGTACATTATGTTTACAAATTTAAGAACAAAACTAATTCTCATAAGTCTAACGTAAATATTAATAAATTACACTCAAAGGAACACAGTTTACAACAAAAACAGTTTATCGTTTATAATATTACCTACATGAATAAAAATTGAGAAATAAAAACTATTAACAAATACATAAGTGGTATTACAGTATGTATAGTAAACAAAATCATTACTCAGGCTAACCTGAAAAAAAAACATTATACAGGAAAACTAATTAGTGCCTTTTTCGGTTCAAAAGCGATTCCAGAGTTTGCACTGTGACAAACCAAACGTCGAAAACTTTTCTTCAGTATGTCGGTAAAAGGATCTGATTTTGCCAGGAACTGAATTGTTAGATCAATGACCCACTAGGAAGTAGTTCTTTTGCGCCTTTCAAAGCACATCAGCTTTTCGTCGTCTGGTAATAGTTTTGTCGGATCAAGAGAATATGACTTACAGATGATATGGGGTAATGCATTGTTCGTATCGGTGTTTAAATTTTTGTATTTAACTTATAGTACCTAAAAACTGTCACCTCAAACGCTGATTCGAGATTGTTAAATTTTTGTACGACATCAGAATGGGCTGCATCAGTACTTTGAAGCCTATCAGTGGCAACAAAAGTAGGCTTCAGAATCGCTCAATAGTCTTCAGCAGATATTTTCTAATAGATATTTAAAAATGTTTTCGCACTGTGGCATCGATTTAACTTTTATGCACCTTGCTAATTTTCAGAAGCTCTGTCAACGATGCAATTAATACTTGTAAGCATTCAGTCAATGAGTTCCACCTCACAAATTTTCTTATTCCAACAGGAAAGCTCCTGTACGCGCACGACACAACACAAGCTTTTTGCATGTCACCGGGGAGACTATAAATCTAGACAACAAATATTTTTGAGCGAACCGAGAAAAGTAACGAAAATGAGTTATTTTAAAGTTCATTTAGGAAAAAAATCGGTACACATTGTATCGTGTTTTTTGCAACACTGCAACCGAAGCAGTGGGTGGAAGCACGTGATTCACCGCCAAAGAAGAAACGACTATTATATCTGCGTTAAAATTTATTTCCAGTGTGTTTTGGCAAGCAAAATAATAATAATAATAATAATAAATCGTCTTTATTTATAAGGTTACATAGTATCGGGCGAAGTTTAGCTAAATAGCTACTCTTCCACTTAACCCTATTATTTTCATGGTTGTGAACCAAAGTAAATACATGCAATTAACATGTATATATACAGTGGCTAACCAAAGGAAAACAAAAATATTGCAAGACATAATATAGAAAATATAAACAGATTCAGCAACACGTCAAATAAAATTTTTCTGGCGGTTACGAATCTAAACTGCAAAGTACTACTTAATTACTACTAAGAGTCATTTTTGATAGCAAATGCTGCTTGACACAAACTTTAAATTTAGTTTGAGATAAATTTTTGAATGCATCAGGTAGCACGTTATATAATTTGACACAATTATATCTAAAAGAGCGCGTAAATAAAGCCGTACGGTGCCGTGGAGTATCTAATAATTTGCCATACCTGAGCATGCGATCTCTAACAGATTGCCTGAAAACAATTTTTTTGAAGAGGTATTCGGGAGTTCCCGTGATAATCAAATTATGAATGAACTTCAAGATAAAATACTCGTAAGAACTATTAATATCTAACCATTTTAAACTACGAATACAGTGTGAAACATGGTAATATTTTCTTATACCGTAGATGAGGCGACAGCACGAATTTTGGATCAGTTAAAGTCTGCGAATTGAGACTTGATCTAAGTAAGGATAGAAAACTATAAGGCAGTAGTTGATTTTTGAGAGAACTAGGCTTTCACAAAGATGTTTTTTGAATTTGAAATTGATGAAATGCCTATTAACAAACAATGTTTTTAGTACAACAAAGCAGTTTCTTACTAATTTAGATATATGCTCACGAAAACGTAAATCCTTGTCAAGTAAGACACCCAAATTTTTTGCAAGATCCTTATAAACTAAAGAAGTGTCATTAATGCGTACTGTCGTGTTATTTCTGATATTAATGATTTTGTTTTTTGGTGCAAAGAGAACAGCTCTAGATTTAGAGGTATTTAGCGTTAAAGAGCTATGCTTGGAAAAACTAACAATAGTGGCTAAGTCACAATTCAACTCGTCAACAGCTGCTACACAGTCATCTGGATCAAAAGTTCTACATATTTGTGTATCATCCGCAAAAATCATCACTTCAGAGGAGCGTATCAGTTTACACATGTCTGATATGTAAATGGAGAACAATAGCGGTCCTAGAACAGAGCTTTGAGGGACCCCTGATATCACATTCTTATATGTCGAATATGAGTTGTCCAAATGTACCCTATGCATACGATTCATGAGATAACTAGTAATGAACTTGATAGATGCTTGAGAAAATCCAATATACGTAGTCGTGCCATAAGTTCTGTCCCTCGTTTTCAAACAAGTGTAGACCTGTTAATACTTGTCCGATTGTTTACATTGTGGTGTCAGTTGATTAAGCGCTTTTCGGGTAATTACATATACCTCAGTTTGTATTGATCTCTCGAAGCATAACGATGGAGTGGGGCAAGGCAGAGAACCGTATTGCAGTGATAGCTTTACATAAGTGTAATCACAGTGCTAGTCAGATTTTTGAACTCTTACGCGGCCTTCAAATATCGCGTAAATTTGTGTCTAGGACCATTCAGCGGTACAATGAGACGTCCTCTGTTGATGACAGGCCAAGAAGCGGAAGACCTCGTCAAGTAAGGACTCCAGCAGCCATCAAAGCCGTAAAAGCCAGGATTCAAAGGAATCCACTCCGGAAGCAGAAGATCCTATCCAGGGAAATGAAGATTCCTGTCCGGACGATGTCGCGCATCATTAAACAAGACCTAGGGCTAGGGGCTTACCGGAGACGTACGGGCCAGCGACTTACGGCCACCTTGCGACACATCAGGGCGACAAGATCCAAGAAGCTCTTGGAGAGGTACGCAGCTGGGGGATTCCGAAAGATTTTGTTCACGGATGAGAAAATCTTCACCATAGAAGAAAAATTCAACCGACAAAATGACAAAGTGTATGCAAGGAGTTCACAGGAAGCTTCGGAGATCATTCCGAGAGTTGAGAGAGGCCACCACCCTGCGTCAGTCATGGTTTGGTGGGGGGTGTCCTACGAAGGGGTCACTCAGCTCCATTTCTGTAAACAGGGCGTGAAAACAAAAGCGGCAAACTATCAGAGCGACATACTGGATCCTATCGTCAAGCCTTTAAGTGGTACATTGTTTGCCAACCAACACTGGGTCTACCAGCAGGATTCCGCCCCCGCTCACAAGGCTAAGAGTACGCAGCGCTGGCTGGAAAGCAATGTGCCAGAGTTCATTGCTGCGGAAGATTGGCCCTCAGGGAGTCCGGACCTCAATCCTTTAGACTACAAGTTGTGGGACCTGCTAGAGCAGTTGGCCTGCTCCAAAGCCCACCGTAATATCGAGTCCCTGAAAGCGGATTTGATCCGATCAGCGGCAGCTATTCCTTTGGAAGCTGTGCGTGCAGTGATAGATGAGTGGCCCGCGAGATTGAAGCAGTGTGTGAAGGCCAAGGGGGGACATTTTGAATAAAACTGTTTGATTATGAATTCTAAAAATGTTGTCGAATAAATAATATCTTTCATATAAATATATCTTATCTTGTTTCATTTTTATCATGAGATTATCATGGGACAGAACTTATGGCACGACTATGTATTTGCATTTTGAGATCAAAAGTGAATGATTGATAGTGTCAAAAGCCTTGGAGAAGTCAAGCAGTACAAGAGCCGCTGCTTGACCCCGATCCAAAGCCTCAACAATATCATCAGTCACCTTAAGCAGGGCAGTGGTGGTGCTATTCCCTACTTTGAAGCCAGACTGGTTTTTTGGAATTATGTTATTCTCAGAGCAGTACTCTTTCAATTGATCATGTACTATCCTTTCCAATATTTTTGATAGAATCGGAAGTAAACTTATTGGGCGCAGGTCGGAATAAGCTGAAGGGTTATTAGTTTTTGCCAAGGGAACAATTACTGCTTGCTTCCATGCAGAGGGAAACTAGTGAAGTTCCAAATGGATTCTGTTAATTGGGGATCGATCACCCGATTGCCAAAATTCGTAAGAAATGGCCACGTTTGAAGAAAAAAAAGATCAGTTTTCATCAGGACAACGTTCCTGTTAGCAAAGGTGCATTAATAATGGAAAAACTGCACAATTTAGATTTAAAATATGATTTCGTGGACCATCTTTCCTATTTTCTTGATTTGACATCCGCAGACTTTCACCTGTTTCCAGATCTGAAGAAATTTCTTTTTAGAAAGCGCACGATGAACAAGATGAGACGGCTGTAGATGAATATTTGCGAGGTGGACTCCTACTGTTGGAGATACGTTGTACTAAGTGTGTTGGAGTCGAAGGGGATTATGTATAACAGGGCTGTCTAAGATACGGCCCGCGGGCCGCATGCGGCCCGAGAACTCCTTTCTTGCGGCCCGCTTCACGGGTCATGTATACATATATGTATACCATATAGTATAAGTATATACCTATCAAAACTCAGTAATAATGTTGTATAGAAAGATTTTATAATGCGGCCCTCCAAACTGCATTTTTTTGAAGTGGCCCTTGGGCCACATTAAGTTGGACAGCCCTGATGTATGAAAATAAAATCATATTTCAACTGAAAACCGCAGGCTTTTATGGTCAGGCCAAGAACTCTCCATCCTACCCACGTAAAATGTATAATACTTGCCAGAACTGTGGTATATTCATACCATATGGAAGAAACTCATCCTCTAAGAGATCTGAAACTAGAAATCCCGTTCCTACAATCAGAAATGCCCCATAAAATGCTTGCAAAGCATAATTAATTTTCGATATTCTCCATTCTCGTCTGTTCAACTTCATAAGTGGGTTGCCTCCAAAGCATGCTTCCACTTTTAGCACCATCAGTGTAGTCCTTAGGTCCATTATTTTTTCCTAAAAGCAACACAGCTTTTTGTAGTTTTTTAGTTCCTAGACTGCATGAATCCATTTTTATACATCAATTGGAAATCTCAATTTATCTGGTTGCGAACATTACTTACCTTCCACCTTTTAAACTCCCAATCAATTCTATAATCGTCGAGACATTTTTTGGACAAGAAATGTCAATTGCTTTTCGATTGCCAATGCACTGTTAGTGGCATTCTCTGTTATTTCAACTATATCGGAATTCAGTATCTGTTTATGAAAGTTATTGTTTATCTTTCTCCTTAATGGTGTTTGGTATTTATTGTAATAATTGTAATTACTTGAGTCTCAGTGCTAATGACATTTACCAGCAACAGTTTTTGTATCACATATTTCGTAGTGTATAGATATAAAATAAAAAAAAAGAAAACGCGCGATGAGTTTTAGAAGAAATAGATGATACTCACTGGTGTCCAGGAAAATGTTTGTCTCGAGCGGCAGGTATCGGAGATAAATTAAAAGAGGGGGAGAGGTCTTCTGCACCAGAACTTCTGATATGGGGTCAGAAACATTAGTGATCAATCTCGATTTGCCCAAAGGGAGGGGGCTGAAGCCGCCCTTGGATTTTCTAAGAAAAAATATATTGAGCCGTGGGGTTCTGGGGGGAAGGGTAGCTTGAGCCCCAAAGCGCCCCTCTGAATACTCCAGTGCAAAACTATAGCAGCTTTCACCAGCAGCCTCTTGGTAACCTCGTACTAAAAAAAAATTAACTGCAATATTTAAAAAATCGTATTACTCGTAACGCTAGTTACAAATAATAGAACGGATCAGATCCTTGAGTATAATAAAAAAATATTGTAGTCGATTTGTGGCCTGATAGGTACAATATTTCCTCTATTTTAGCGTGTTTCTCAACTTCTACCATTTCAAGCATAATTTCTTAAGGATTAAAAAATGGATATATATTTCTAGTCAACCTTTATTACATGATAGTTACATAATATACACTTATATATAATAATAAAATAACAACAACCCAGTCATGAGATCCTATTTATCTCTTACGAATGCCCAACTGCTCATCCAATCATCATGGCTTTGAACTCTGAAAAGAAAGAATACCTAATAGCTTGCTCCTCTACTACGTCTACACCGTGGCTAACCACGCGCTTATATAGCGCATAGTACTCAGTGTTATTGGGTACAGCGCATCATTTATTACTCACTGAATAGTGGTGTATATAGAACTTCAGTTCAGTGTTAGAATACAAAACAAAGCAACGTTCTAAATACTGAACAAATTTGCGTTGCAGACGTAAGTGGAAGAAATTATGATAAATATTCCTGCACTTACAGTTTTATATTTTCACCTTCTAGATGGAAAACAATACAACTTTTATTGAATTATCCACACTTGTCGATATGGTGGATTTTGAAAAATTATAAAACACGTTGTTCACCCCTTGAAGAGCTTGAATAGCGTCAGCGTACTTTTCCGAAGAAAGTATCTAAAATTTTTATTTTTACGAGTACAATAAAGTCGAAAACATAATATAATCATTTATGTATTTATATATGTATATCTCTCGGTACCTTACTAAATGGTTAGTAAAGCTTTATAAACAGATTTAAAAAAGTTTGAGCCTAGCGCCCACGGAAGAAATCATACACAAAAATTACCAGACATAATGTCTTGATGACTTTCCGGTACAGTTCGACAACTAATCGCAAAATTAGAAAAAAGATAAGAACTACACATTGTTTCCGGGCTCGTAGCTATGACGCGTTTGTTGTATAGCCACCATCCAGAATCTGATCAGACGGTGATTATCCTTTTGGATGACAAAAAGTGTTGTCCTGTTTTGATTTTGTCTTGATACTCACCCTCCCAATCAACGGTTCCAGAGTTATCAGTATCAATTTCTTTGATCATCTCATTAAGGTCGCTTGGTGACAGTGTTGGCTCTAATTCCTTGAGGATATCTCTTAACAGATCAACTGTTATGTAACCAAGACCTATAATAGCAAAAACTCATGTACCTATTTCATACAGTCACCCTCCCTACTTGTTTTTAAAAAAGTCAAGCTGAAATTTGGGGCGAGTGAATTGATGCAGGCATATAATATTTTTTAGGAAAAGATGCTGTGGGGCGCCATCTTGAAAGATTTTTTAAATGAAATGGGATACCTTAATTAGAATCTCCTTATGAGTACTTAATAACACTGGAATATAAAATCATATGGCGAACTGAAAGATTGACAAAGTTGCCCTACATCAATATTATTTTCTTACAAGGGCCTATCCGAATACATTTAAAAGGAACGCCAAAATCTGGGCGCTTCCAAAACGAAGAGGATGAATGATTAGTCGTCGAGTTATAAGTTCTTCGATGTAAACAATCGGTCAACTTTGGCCGCCCTCCAGCCAGCAATTCTGAAAGATTGCAATATTAGAGCATACATACAAATTGTGATTTTAGCAATATCTTGTGACCAAAGAGAAGTTCGAGCTCAAATACAGTCAGCATCAATCTTGTTTTTGCTTGCCCTATTTTCTTCGTACCCGCCTGACGAACGTTTACGAATTATGCGAAAAAAATGTTCATACCGTCTCTGTCGTATAATCTGAAGGCATCTTTTAACTCCCTGAGGATAGCTTCTGTGTCTTCCTCTTCCTCTATCAAGAATTTAGCTGCTAAGTTTGCAAATTCCTCGAAACTCATTACGCCGTTTCCATCTTCATCAATTTCCTTAACGACCGCCTAAAAAAAATGTGTCCTATTGTGACCTATAATAGTATACAGTGTCATCAAAAAGTCCTTTTCATGGAAAAAAAACCACGAATTGTACTGATGTGCGTATCCCTATTTCTTTAGTGGAGTGGAGTGTAAAACTGTATGTCATCAATGTTTGACAACTGATTATATTACCTCTTTATGCGTACACTGAAACCTGGAAAAACCACTACCCACTACCATTTTTAAATCGGAAAACGTTTTTCAGGGCAACAGCTACTTTATGTTTATTATTTTTGTTGTTGTTTGACATCAGCTCTGGACAACAGACCGTGAATATTTTCCCCAAAATCAAGTAACTTCGAATTACATAAATGTATCGCGCCCACCTCGTATATGTCCGTGCACGTCTCTTCGCTGCCGCCGCCTGCTGATTTTGGATCAAACGTTCACATATACAGGGTGTCCGCAAAATTGGGGTTTTCCTTTTAAGAAACAACTACCCTTGAAATAACAAAGGTAATGTGTAGTGAAACGAGGGCGACCAAGTAAAAAAAAATAAAGGAAAAAGTACTCACTCTCCAGTTGACAAGAAGGGCTAAGTACGTCTCTGCCCGAAATCATACCGCTCCAACAGAAAATGAAATCAGCTGAAGCGCTACCGAGCAGACGCAGAAACCACATTGATTGTCTTATACTTAATGGCACATCTTCTAACAAGCAAAGTCTAGGTATAGCATCCCGTCCAATCGATTTGGGAGAATAAATGGTCCAATGAGCATACCGTTCACCATGCCAGCCCAAACATTCACCGAAAATGTTTGTTGAAAATGTGCCCGACGGACAGCGTGCGGATTTTCTACTGACCAAACATGAGTGTTGCGAAAGTTATTCACCCCATTACGCGTGAACGTAGATTCGTCTGTCACCAATATGCACTTCAAAAAGTCCGGATTATTGTCATGTTGATGCAACAACCACTCACAAAACCGCACTCTTGCTGGAAAATCGTCAGGTTGAAGGGCTTGTACACGTTGGACGAGAAACGGATACAGCCCTTCTTCACGCAGCGTTTGCCACACTTTACTTTTTGATACTTGCACTTCTCTAGCCACGTCTCTAGTGCTTGTTGTTTTTTGAAACGAAATCGATTAAACGGGTTCGTTTACCTCTACACGCGTGACCGTAACCGTCGGTTGAAGGTTGCATACTGACCTGACACACTGACCCCGACCCAGTTCTGCCGTCGGGTTGAGACCTTGTACCAATCGGTGATGTCCCGGGTCGCGGCTACAGGACGGTATTCAGATATTTTTCATGTTGCAGAGCCCTTTATCTCGGTTCCCTTAAGACATTGGTGTATATGGTACTAAGAAAAATTGCTTATGTTTTCAAGATCTACACGTCGTGTAAAGGAAAACCCCAACTTTGCGGACACCCTGTATAAATGTGTACGACTATTGTATCTAGCATGTGTGTATTATTACTGGTGTCAGAACCTTCTCAACAGTAGAAAGTCTTTTTCTCTGTAACCCTCAACCCCCAATTTTCAACACTTCCAAAAAGTTTTTCAAAAATGAGCTTGAGTGTCTGGAACGTTGAAAAACGTCATCAATTCTCAGAAGCTAAAAAGTTTTTAGCATAGTAGTAACCCTGTTGCAAAATTTCATCAAAGTCTGAAAGGCACCTTCCAAGTTCTAGCGGAGCCAAGTAGTAGTGGGCAGACAGACAAATCGACAGACCGACGGAAATCCGTGACATGGTTTTAGGCGGTGTATGTCATGTAACATACCAAAAACATGATATTTCATTATTTAAAATGTTCGTGGTTACAATGCTTCCTCACATGGGAAGTAAAAATAAATCAAGTCGATTTTCGACGCATTAGCATGGTAAAGTAACCTTCAAAGTGCGCACAGACAATAGAGAAACAAGTTAATGGATTAAGTGTAATGTTGGACCAAAATGAATATTAAAAAATGTCTGATTAACTGGCAGAAACATATCTCGCGACATAGACATATTGTAGCATATTGAATGATTATTTTTTGTAAAACTTATTCCATGTTATTACTTACTGCTAGTTCCTCTGGACTTTGCCTGTGCCCTAACATATCCAAGATCTGCCCAATCATATCAACATTAATTTCACCTTTAGCTTCGAGGTCAAAGGAATCAAAAATGGATTTCAGTGCTGAAAAACACCCGAAAGGGATTTACTCGTCACATGAAACAGAGAGGGAGAAAGGGAATACAAACAAAAAAACTCACTTCTGATTTGATCCTTAGAGATGCCCAATCTTTTATAAGTTTCATAGTCCAAGGGTAGTTTATCATCTGTGTCCTGAAATAAAATTGTGTAATATTCGATCAAAATAACAATACATACATGTTCAGTAAAAACAATCAAAAAGAGAGCATTTTCACATTTCTTTTATGAAAAACGTTATATAATAATAATAATGTTTGGCAACGACACTCTGTATTTATTCTTGAAATGAAAGATGATATAATTTGTGTATAATTCTTCCCATATCTGAATCCTCATATCTATGCTTTCCAGGCGGTTTAAGTTCTATTTCCCTACAACCTTCTCCCAGAAATTCTCATCGAACGCGTAGAATAAGGTATGGTACAGTAGCACAATGCAAAGTCTGGCGTCCGATAAAAATACTGTTCTTACATGGAGATCGATACAGGATTACTGGTAATATCTACTGGTTATTGGCTTGTCGGCCATGCAACTTTTTCTGTGGATGATACTGAAATCGAATAGGGTGTGAATGTGAACACGTTGGCTCTTACGTTGGTAGGAACACGTCTATATACCTACGTCATAATATCTGAAAAATCCACTATCATGGAATCGTTAACAAGGTATGCATTTTAAGGAATCAGTTGTATTTGAAGATCCAGATATAGAAAACTCCTCCATTGTGTTTTTGGCCTTTCCCTGTATCGTCACTGGAAACATTTTCATAAACAAATTTTTTAGTCTTTGGCATAGTACTAACTTTGCT